ACATGTCAGGGCTGCTGCAAGGAGTGCCAGGCGACAACTTCTCCACAGGGTCCGCCCGCGTGCCCGGAGCAGACAGAGCCAGGCAGCCATGTCGACCCTGCGGTGCACGATCGTATTGTCGATGAGATCCGGCGTGCGAAGGCAGCCGGCAGGAGAGCGCGATTTGGGCGAGGGATTGGGCGGAGCGGCAGTGGGCACAGCCGCACGGCCCCCAGCTACGACCACAGGCTTCCTGTGAGTGCGACCCGGTGGCGGTTGTCGCTCCGACGGTGGTTCCAGGCACCCCGGATCCTGCTCCGGTGCCGAGGCCGCTCGGCACTCCAGTCATGCAGATTCGCTAGTGCAGATCTTCCACGTGCTCAGCGGCGAGAGGAGGGCGGAGGATGTTCAGCAGAGGGCCTGAGAGCATCAGCCAGGATCTGGGGCCCCGCGTCTTTCATGTTTGCGGCGACCTCGCGCGGGAGGGCCGCCCCGCGCTCGGGTCGGGCCTCTTCTGGGCTGACCGCTCGTCAAGGATCCTCGGAGGGCAGCGCTGTGAGACAAGATGCTGGTCAGGAGGGAAAAAAACACACAGACACAATTAACCGTCGATTCCCAAGAAAATATGGGAAAATATGGGAAGTGGGGGGGAAGACAAAAACCCAGAAAATATGGGGAAAAAATGGGGAGTATTTTCATTTGTGTGTATTTATTTGTGTGTCCTGGGGCCCCTTCAGCTGGGGCCGCCGCCCGGCTGTAGGCATCTGCCGAGGCCGATCGGGACAGCGAACTCGCTATGGGCGTGGTCGTCCAGCAGACACCGGAGCGGCTGCAGCAGGAGGAGGGTCAGGCGCAAGATCATGGTCAGGAGGGTTGATGAGCAGCACGGGGATGATGATTAGGATCATGAGGAGGATAGCTGAGGAGCTGGAGGACTGATGAACAGCAGGCTGGAGGAGCAGGAGGGTGGCGGAGCAGGAGGCTTGGTGAGCAGAAGGGTTGGAGAGGAGGAGGAGCAGAAGGAAGAGGAGGAAGAGGCGAAGGAGGATGAGGAGGCGAAGGAGGAGGAGAAGTTGAAGTAAAGAGGAGGAGAAGTACGAGTGAGGAGGATGAAGAGGAGGAGGACGATAAGGAGGAGGAGGAGGAGAAGATGGAGGAGGAACAATCTTAAAGAGGCATAACTTTAGGAGGAAGAGGAAGACGAACGTGAAAATGAGTTGTGTGATGATGATGCTGATCATGCTACTGCTACTGATGATGGTGATGGTGACGATGATGATGAGGAGGAAGAGGAGGTGGAGGAGGAGGAGGATAGTGATGATGGTGATAACGACGATGACTATGATTATGATGATGTTGTTGGTGTTGATGCTGATGGTACGGACGATGCTGATGATTATGAGAATAATGATGATGGTGATGATGCTGATGATGATGATGGTGATGATGATGGTGATGGTGATGATGACGATTATGATGGTGATGATTGTGATGTTGATGACGGTGACGACGACGATGATGATGAGGATGATAAGAATGATGATGGTGATGATGATGTTGGTGCTGATGATACTGGCGATTCTGTTGATGATGGTGATGCTGATACTGATGATGATGATGCTGATGCTTATGATGATGACGATGATGTTGATGATGATGCTGATGATGATGCTGATGATGATGCTGATGATGATGATGACGATGATGATGATGATGGTGGTGAGGGTGGCGATGACGGTGATGATGGTGGGGTGATGATGATTATGATGATGATGTTGAGGAAGAGGAGGAGGAGGAGGAGGAGGAATAGGAACGTTCGAAGGAGGATGAGGATGAGGAGGGTAAGGAATGGGAAGGTGCCCTGAGTGGGCCGGGCGCTCGCCGCGGCCTTGTGCACCGCTGCAGGCAGAATTTAGGCTGCCAGAAATTTCCAGAAATCGCTTCCGCACCTGGCGTGACCAGCACGGTCCGGGACGCCGCGGGCTGATTGCATGACCTTAGTTCCAGCGCTGGCGAATCTGGATGCCCTCTTTCTGCTCTTCAGCTTCGACGAACAGAAAAGGCATACGCACAGTTTCGGATATCTGAGCGGATCTCTTGGGTCGGCGCCAGACTCAAGAAATCCGCGCGGACCTTTGAATCTGTCAAACCATATTTGTGTTACTCATCTTCGTTACTCATTCCTCGTCCTTTATCCTCCTCCTCATCCTTTCACTCCCCCACCTCTTCCTGTTTCTCCTGCACCTCCCCCTCCCCTTCACATCCTCCTCCTCCTCCTCCTCCTCCTCCTCCTCCTCATCATCATCATCATCATCATCATCCTCCCCCTCCTCCTTCTCATTACTCTACCCTTCCCCTCCTCCTCCTCAATCCCCACCACGCATCTGCTCACCTTGCGCGCCTTCGAACAGATCGGGTGGGAGGGTGGGGCTCCTCTGCTTGGTGTTGTAGTCCTACTGCTGACACGGCTGCTCCCCCTCCTTGATTTCGCATGGCGCTGCTGAATAGACTCAGGCTGGGGCTCAGTCATCTCGGCGTGATGTCTTTGGGAACCTGCCAGTAATTACACGCTTCTAATACGCCGAATTTCGACCGACATAGACGGCACAGCTCAGCCTGACAGTGGACTAGCTGTAAGTGGCCACTGGAATGACCTATACGTTCTGGCTGCTGATATCTCCAATCGAAGCTATTTGCACTACATAGCGTTAACTCTACATTTCAAATCGGCTGTGCTTTGTAAGCCAGCCATCACCATCCTATCTGCTTCCTCCTGCCTTCTCCTCCTACCTCCTGCCTCATTCCTCCTTTCTCCTCCCTCTTCCATCCTCTCTCCTTGTTCCTCCAACCCTCCTCTCTTCTCCATCTTCTTTGCGCTCTTGTCCATCCTTCGTCCTTCCCTCTCCATTTCGCCCTCCTCTCTCCTCCCTCCTCTATCCTCTTCCTCTCTCGTCTCCTCCGCCTCCTCTTTTTATTGTTCCTCCTCCTTTCCGTGGCCCTCCAGTCCTCTAGCCCTCTACCCCTCGCCCTCCTTCATGTCTCCGCCCTCTCTTCCTCCCCCTTCGTTTCCTCGAACACCTGTTGCCCCTCCCCTCGTCCCTTGAGCGAACGCGTATGAGGCAAGAGGGAGATGGAGGCTACGCCAAGAAGAGGGGAAATGAAGAGGATAAGGGGAGGAGCACCAGCATAATGAGGATGAGCAAGCGGAATATGAGGGGGATGTTCGGGAGAGCGGTGATGATGTTATTGTTGATAATGGTGGTGAGGATGAGGAGGGGATGCAGGAGGAAGAGGAGGCGGAGAAGGAGGAGGAGGAGAACGTGGAAGATGGCAAGGAGCATGTGCTG